ATGTCTTCAAGGGAAGGCGACTAACCGAAGCGATAAACAGAATACGGTGGCCAAATCCCGCGCCATGAAGCTGTACCGTGACGAGACGTACATTAAAGCGGATGCCAAACAGATTCCTGGCCTGGACTTTTTCGTCGGTAGCTCCCGCCTGGATGTTCCGGAGAAGTTTTGGAAGAAGAAAGTCGATGAATTTGCCAAGAAGTACTTAGTGAGGCAAGCAATCTGTGCGTGCGGAAAATTCAGTAAGCCGTACATAACGACCGGCACCATCAACGGCCAAATATATAAAGAAGAATGCCTCCAGAAGCAACTGCTGTCCTTCCTCCGGTCCCACGAAGGCGACACTCTGTTTTGGCCGGATCTGGCATTGGGCCATTACGCAAAACCGGTGATGCAGTGGTACGAAGCCAACGATGTTGTTTTTGTGCCGAAGGAGGGAAATCCGCCAAACTCACCAGAACTTCACCCAATAGAAAAAATCTGAGCGATTATGAAGGACAAGCTCTGGAAAACAGGGAAGGTTTTCAAAAACTACAAGGCTTTGAAGAAAGAGTGGAAAGTGTGTAAGAAAGATGGCGCAAGTGTTGCACAGGATTTGATGGGTAGCGTTAGGCCCAAGGTGCGGGCATTTAGCAACAATCAATTGGAAACTAACGATTTTAAATTGACTCACTACTTGACTAGCCTATTGGCCCCCAGGCAAATCGATTAACTTACCCCATTCTAGTTGATGTTTGTTTTGATTTGCTATGAAAGTTTGACAGATAAAATGAGGGGTTCGTGGATTTTCCTATGTTTCGAGGGGTGCATCGATTAGATTGGGACCGAACATAGTACCAGAGCTGAGCCAAAAAGTTTAGCTCGTTTCTTTGGGACCTTCTGGTCTTAGAGTTACCTCTATGCATTTAGCCTAGGAGAGGAGGTTGAATAAACCAGCTTTGCAAAGACATAGCTAATGTTGAAACTGTTCTCTTCTACTCACAAGGGTCAGAGGGACCCCTGACTACGCCCCTGGCTACTGGTAAAGCCTACGGCAGCCGTTCGGGGTGGGCCTTACAATGGCCTCTTTATGGAGAACTGATGCGGTCGTTTTATGATTGGTCACCTAGAAAAATTCCAACGTTTTTTGTGCTAATCTTTGATTCCAGGTTATGTTCTATTTTTCCATATCGAAGTGGACAAACTAACAAAGCGGAAAACAAGCAGAGAACATAGAGAACTTTCAATTCTAGTCGAAATTCTAGTACTACACTATGTTTGTGTTGATTCGCTATGAACCGAAGAGCTTGCTTGGGACCGAAGAGAGTACTAGACCTGAGCTAAAAAGTTAAGCACGTTTCTTCGGGACCTTCTGGTCTTAGAGTGACCTCTATGGTAAAGCTGCGAACGTTTGAAACAAACTAGAAATTTTCGAACAACTCGGCAGAGCGAGCAAAAACTGAACTGTACTGCTTGACGGTCAAGCAGGGACTCATGAGCGGAGGCACGACAACTTTTCAGGTTCTAGCAAAACGATGTACAACAAGTGGTTCTCTATTATGACGACTGGGTTTGGAGAAAATGTTTGTTGCATGAAAACAGTGATGAAATTATCACTTTTCATTTGAATATTTTTCAAAAGTTTGTTATGGAACATTGGAATAACATCTATAAATGACAAAGTTATGAGCATTCCAAACCTAACACCTTTTCGTGACGGACGCAATTTTAGATTTTTGATTTACCCCCTGTACCTTCCCGTAAAACGTAGTCTACGGCAAAAAATAAACTAAAAACTCTTCATTGGAAATTTAGCAGGAAAGATGCATTTGGAGCCTGAAATTGAAACGTCAGAAATTTCTACAAAGTTTTTCCTAAATGTTAAGCCCTCAATTTGATGTAAATTAATGCTAGAGTGGTTCTTATTATCATTGAAAAAAATACCTTCAGGAAAGTTAAAGTACATCTAATTTCAAGCAATTTTGTTTCAGATAACTTTTTTGTATCTTTTGAATTGAGCGATTTAGAGCAATTTAGGGCATCTCTAAAAAAACAGTTTTTTGCTCTTTGACTATATGTTTAATATTACTGCGTGAAGTCAACGATTTACATAGTTGAAGATGCTAATTTCAAAATAACAGACTGAAGTGGTAATTTTTATACGATAGATGAGGAGATGAAAGTATAGAATTGATAGTTCCGTTTAGAGTACGGCAGTGTGAAAATTGTATATAGAGAGTAGAAAGCGAGCTAGACAACTTTTTTTAGGAAGGTACAAATCAGTTTTATCATCTCTCTTTACCAAACTCCCCCTTTGGAGAGGGATGGTGAGGGGTGTCCCCCTCCCCCGCCACCACTGGCAAAAAGAGATGATCGCCGACCCGCTCATGTACCAACGATGTGTTTGAAACAGTTCTACCGATTTTTACCGCACTCCAGTTGTTATTTGAAGGAAGGCATCCAGCTCGCTTTCTACTCTCTATATGCAATTTTCACACTGCCGTACTCTAAACGGAACTATCAATTCTATACTTTCATCTCCTCATCTATCGTATAAAAATTACCACTTCAGTCTGTTATTTGAAATTAGCATCTTCAACTAAGTTTTTGTTTTTTATTTTTTTTTTATTTCAAATTTCTAAGCAAGGTTGTTGCGTTTAGAACTTTTAAACACGCAATTGTTTCGTTGCATTACTTGTCGACACCTTTAATAAATAAAGAGTTATATACAATTATCATAAATGGGACTCGCTTCGCTCGCGTATCGCTATTTTTATTAAGATTTCGAACTGAAATTTCTTCCACAAAATAGAAATCTTACAAGATATAAAATTATTAAAACTAATTTTTTTTAAATTATGTTGAGTAATTTACTATAACTAAAGGGTGATACGGTCAAAATTTGGTCAATATCAACTTGACGTATTTCTTTCAATTTTGCATTTAAAAAACCTGAACACCCCTCATTTTGAAGGTGTGTGTGTGTAGAATATTGCTCCTATTTTGATTTTGGAATTCACTCTTCAGTTGTCAAAATGCCGTCCAAGCAAGAAGAGCAGCGTATCAAAATCGCACGCAAAGTTGGCAAAATCGCTAAAAGTTGCCAAATCAACCGTTACAAATGTAATTAAAGTGTTTGGGGAACGTTTGTCGACAGCCAGGAAGTCTGGATCGGGGGGAAATCGAAAACCGGAAGCCGCTGAGACGACAAAGAGAGTTGCCGGTAGTTTCAAGCGAAACCCTAACCTCTCTCTCCGAGATGCCGCAAATAAGCTGGGTGTATCGTCTACAACCGTGCATCGAGCCAAAAAACGAGCCGAACTATCGACTTACAAGAAGGTAGTGACTCCAAATCGCGATGATAAACAAAATACGACGGCCAAAGCGCGATCCCGGAGGCTGTACACGACGATGCTGACGAAGTTTGACTGCGTGGTAATGGACGACGAAACCTACGTCAAAGCCGACTACAAGCAGCTTCCGGGACAGGAGTTTTATACGGCAAAAGGAAGGGGAAAGGTAGCAGATGTTTTCAAGCACATGAAACTGTCAAAGTTCGCAAAGAAATATCTGGTTTGGCAAGCCATCTGTACCTGTGGCTTGAAAAGCAGCATTTTCATAGCTTCCGGGACTGTCAACCAAGAAATTTACGTGAAAGAGTGTTTGAATAAACGTCTGCTGCCTTTCCTGAAGAAACACGGTTGTTCCGTACTGTTTTGGCCGGATTTGGCATCTTGCCATTACGGTAAAAAGGCCATGGAGTGTTACGCCGCCAACAACGTGCAGGTGGTTCCCAAGGACAAGAACCCTCCCAACACGCCAGAGCTCCGCCCAATTGAGAAATACTGGGCTATTGTCAAGCGGAACCTAAAGAAGACCAAAAAAACTGCTAAGGGCGAGCAGCAGTTCAAGGCAAACTGGCTTTCTGCGGCGAAGAAGGTGGACAAGGTGGCTGTACAAAATCTGATGGCAGGGGTCAAGCGTAAGGCCCGGCAATTCGGATTTGGAAAAGCGGAAGCCTAACTGAATATTTTTCCTGAATTGTATACTAATTGAACTTGAAAAAGAAATTTAATTTGATTTTTTAAATAAACGATTTCACCGATTTACACGCGTTTTCCCTTGACAAAATTTTGACCGTATCACCCTTTATTATGAGTAATAGTACTAATGCAAAAATGGTATATGCGTAGAAAGCATTCAATTAACAACTGTGTAAGGGTTTCCTTAGCTCAGTCGGTAAAGGCACAGCTACAAAGCAAGTCCATGCTGGGTTCGATTCCCAGGGTGGCTGGGTTCGATTCCCTGTCCGGTCTAGGAATTTTTCGGGTTGGAAATCTAGAGTATGATTGTACTTGCCACACAATTATAATAATGCAAAAATGGTACAGGCATCGAAAGCTCTCAATTAATAACTGTGGAAGTGCATTTAGAACACTAGGTTGAGACGTTAAGAGCACGCAATAAGCTAAAATGCGATAAGCATTAAGCTTGAAACTCGAAGAATAAGAAGAAGTAAGTGTTCGAAGAAGATAAAGTTGAGAGCTAGTGTGAAGTTCCAGCGTGGATGTTATGAAGCTAATGAAGATGGGCCTTTTAAGGGAAAGCTTACCGCTCCGAAAAAAATCATTTTGATTGTTCTAAAAATATTGGAAAGTCTAAAAAAAAAATTTTTTTTCATCCTGAAGAAAATTTACGGAATATAATTTGAACTCAAAAACCGAAAAAGATATCTTTTCAATTTTGTTTAGAGTACATCTTTTTTATAATTAAATAGAAAACATATATTTATGTGTGAATTTTCTAAGGCACCTAATAAAAAAAAACTGATTTTCTTTGATTTTTATTAGTTTTCTAATATTTTAAGCAAAATAACTTTTGTTGATCGAATTATATTAGATCGAGCTCGTCCATATTTAGTATTAAAGCATGTTTTTGGTATCATATTTAGTTTAACCTCCTATATTTCACGGTGCATTAGGTTATCCAATACTAATCAATTCACTCTCATCTCTTTTCAGAAATACACCAATGAACCGATCCAGCGTATGGAAATGGACGACATCCTGGGAGTGAAGTGCAACTTTGAAACCGAGTGCGCGTGGAAGGTGGACGAAAACCAGCCAAATACCTTTCAGGTGGTAACCGGAGCAAACCTTACGGCCTCCAATCGGACTGGCATGATGCCGGGTCCGAGCGCGGATGTGCTGGGTGATGCGTATGGACATTTCCTCCACTTACGGCTGACGACGAACAGTACACAGCACATTCTGACGTCTCCGGTCTTTGGTGCCACACGGGAAAACTGCTTCCTCGAAGTGATGGCCCATCAGAGCTCAATGGGCCACGGCAGTCTGCGGATAGTGATTGAGACGAACGGGAACCAGGATCCCTCTTGGGTACCGGCTGAGTTTACGGGAAATGATTTGCGGAAGTGGCAGCTGTTTACGTTCCGGATCGATAGGATATCGAAAGATTTTCAGATCCTCTTCGAAGTGGTTCCCAATCATCTCGGTGCACGGGCCAGAGGGCACGTCAGCATCGATAACTTGAAGATGGTGAACTGCTTCCCGGATGCGATGAGTACGGACAATTGTAGCTCTTCGCAGGTTCGGTGCACGGCCAATAAGGTGAGTATTGTTTGTTGTATATTACACACTACTTACCACCTCTGATAGCGATGGCTATGCTTCCACCTCGTTTGTCTGCTCAGAGCAAAAAATGACGTTCGATAGAATTATTTACATCATCGTTTTGAATGATTTGTGTTAGGAGGCTGAGCCAATACCAAATTAATTTCAATTTAAGATGATTACCATTCTGCAGAGAGCATTACGCATTCCAACTGAAGGCCCTATGCCTTTTCATAACAATGTTCATCCTGTATTCGAGAGGAAAATCATCTGATTTCAAAACAACCGTCATCCGGTTGCAGCTTTCATTCGAAAAGGCGATTTCGATGTTTCGATTTGAATGGTCTGAGGTTTCATTCGAACAGAGGACGGTGGTTTGGTACAGTGTAGAAGGAGAGATGAGCGGAGAGAATGTTTTGAGCCAAATGAACTGTTAAAATCTGAGCCATACGAACATTCCCATTAGATTTTTTCCGAGGATTTCTTATTCTTACTAGATTAAATTTGAAAGTTTTGCAATCGAACAGAAATTCAATCACCTTTATATTTTGTGTGCTTCTCAAATTCAACTAGTTTTTGGAATCAAAAGCAATATTCTAGCTCTGTTGATTAATTGATCTTAGTTGGTTAATTAATGGCACCAAAAAATGAGCAAATTATTGTGATGCAATCAAATATTAATTTACACGTAAATCGAATCAAAAGTAAAAGTCATGTGAAATGCTAAGTTTTAGCAAGGGTTACAAGATAGTTTAGATACAAATCCATGCTGCCGAATTGTATTTTGTTTTCCTTGCTGATCTCTCCCTCTGAGTATTTCTAGTTTTCCAGAACTACCTAGATCATGATTTTCCGAACAGAGCTCAAGATTCTATGACTTTTGTTGCCTTTGCAGGCGTTACGTTTATTTTGTGGTACAATGTTCACGATTTCATGATTTTTATTCATGGTGTACTTTCGTAAACGAAAAATTTACTTGTTCCGAAAATCGTGACTGGAGGTTGACGAATTTCGGAACGGACTTTTTCCCGTGTAGAGCAAATGCTCAGTTTGATTCAGAACTCCAAAATGTGATTCTGTGCAAAAAATGGTAAATATTGATGAAGGCATAGTTGTTTTCGGATATGGTCCGATTGCCTCCAGATTATATGTGCGAAACAAACATTCGGGGTGGTTAAATTTCCGGGAAAATTTTAATTGATGTTTCGGATTTTCCCCCGGACATCACGAACTTTGAAAATTCATAACTCATCATCGTAGAAAAAACGTTGCGTAGAAAATTAATAAGGAAATTATCTCTGAAATCAACAAAAAATATAATCTGAAAAATGTTTTCCTCGACAATTTTCACGGTGCAGGAAAATCAGGCAAAATCATTGTCAGAGTAAGGGGCTGTTCATAAACTACGTAGACAGTTTAGGGGGGGGGGGGGTTGACACTTAACCACGGCCCATACAAATTAAAAAAATGTATATGGACAATTATCTACGTAGGGGGAGGGGGTCAATAATCCCAAAAAAACTGTCTACGTAGTTTATGAACAGCACCTAATGATTTTTTTCATGCTTGAAAACTTGTCAGGTTTTGAACGCTTATAACATGTTAATTTATGAACGAAATTCAATTTTAATTTCGCCATGTTAATCAGATTGAATGTAAGATTTTTTTGGTAACAAGATGATAGCTGTTTATCAAAGGTTAACTATTGAAAATTGATTAAAGTTTTCAGCCGTAATCAACCAATCACGTGCTCGCTCGCTATGACTATCGAGAGAACAGAGAGTCGAGTCGGTACCACTCAATACTGAATGCCATTTATTTCCTTTGCTTTTTTTCTATTCATTGATCTACATCAGCAAAATACAGAAAAAAAATGGAGCTTAGAATGCTAATCTAAACGCTTAAGTAAGGAAACCGTAGAACATCATCGTTTGACTGCCGAGTACTGTAAAAAGGGCGTTCGTTGCGTTGTGCACTGAAAACGAAACTAACTCAGAGAATGAGTAACTTTTACTCACTTGTGAATAAATTTTACTCATTCGTATGGGAAATTTTCTAATAACGTTGATCATTCAGCGCATGAGTAACCTACGCTTTTAGAATTTTTTTGAAATTTAGTGACTCACTCTCTGAGTAAGATTTGTTTTCAGTGTAGCTTGTCATGTCGGCTAGAAAAAAGTAATTCGGAATGCATGAGGCCTACTGGATGGTCAAGCTTAGTGTGCAATTTGCATCAAAATTCCATGTTTTAACTTGTCAGTACGGACAGAAAGCAGGTTTCTGTATTCAGTGATTATGCAAGACCTATCGCATGATTGGCTTCTCAGTTCAGAACTCACTTACCATGCAGCACTAGTGTCATTTGATTCAAACGGCTAGCTTAAGTAGTCTACATTCACTGAAAACAAATCTTATTGAGAGAGTGAGTTACTCATGCGCTGACTGACCTACGCTTTTGGAAATTTATCCTTACGAATTAGTAAAAGTGACTCACTCTCTGAATTAGTTTCGCTTTCAGTGTTTCGACTAGAAAGAAGGTTGCTGTCTCTAGTAATGTTATTCAGGATGAGAGCTCTAGGATCACTTTCATGTATTGACCACTTTTACGGATGTTCCGGATCTTTCTATCTTTGCTATCTTTTTTTTTTCTTTTTTTTTTCCTTGATTTGTTTTCCACCGATCTTGTTTTTCGTGCTGAGCACCACGCCTAGACCCTACCTATCGACTCATGAACCCGGGACCAATGGCTTTACTTCCCTTCCGAAGGAAGGCATGATCAGATATGATATGCCTTCAGAACATTCCGGCAGCGCCAACTGGGATTGAAACCAGGCCTGCTGTGGTGAGAGGTAATCACGTTTACCACGGCGCCGCTCATCGTGTTATCCAGTGTGTTCTTATTCCGGTCACAACTCTTAATTCATTCTGATAAACGTCTTTAAGATGTTTCGAAAAAACTACCGAGCACTAGGATCAGTTTCTTGAGTTGACCACTTTTACAAATGTTCCGGGCCTTCCAGTGGACTATCCCGTGGTCCCCAGGATCCATATTTCGGTCACAACTCCGAATTAATTGTGATAAGACTTCTATGCGTGGTTTCAAAAAAAAAAACACGAAGTTCTAGGATCGGTTTAATTAATTGACAACTTTAACCGATGTTACGGATCTTCCGATGGACGATCCCGTAGTCCTCAGAATCCATGTTCGGATCACAACTTCCAATTCATAATGATAAGACATCTATGAGTTGTGTCGTAGAAACCGCGGAGTTCTAGGCACAGTTTCAAGAATTTACTACTCTTACTGATGTCCAGATCTTTCAGTGTAGCCCTACGTGGAGCCCAGCGTCCATATTCTGATCACAACTTCAAATTTATTCTGATAAGACTTCTTCGAAAGATTCGAGAAAACCACGGAGTTCTTGGATCAGTTTCATGAATTGACCACTTTTACGCATATTCTAGATTTTTCGGTGGACCATCCCGTAGTTCCCAGAGTCCATATTCCAGTCACAACTCCCAGATTCTTTCTGATAAGACGTCTATGAGTGGTTTCAAGAAAACCGTGGTGCTCTAGGATCAGTTTCATGAATTGACCTCTTTTACGGATGTTCCGGAACTTTCGGTGGACCATCCCTTAGTCTCCAGAGTCCATATTCTGGTAACCAGTGCAGCGATTTGTCATTATCATTGACAGTCTTTCGCACGATATTGACAAAATTGTTTTTCACAAAGTCACTGACAGACTTGCTCCTCTAAAAAATCTTCGTCAAAATCTCAACAAGTGTAATTTCGTGCATTCTGTGTCACATTATTGTTATCCAAGCAGTTCAGGACGTAGATACTTGTTCACTTTAACGGCTCCATGTAATTGTGTTGCTGAAGTCATTTAATTTCGTTACAAATTTAGTTTATAAAAAAACTACACATGTTCGTCACTGACAGCATTGTCGTATGACAACTGACATGGTTTGCCTTCACTATGACTGTTAGCTCAAATTAGTGAACAAAGCAGAATTGTCAATATCACCGTGTATTGTCGAGATTTTGCAGCACTGCTGGTAACAACTTCAAATTCATTCTGATAAGACGTCTATGAGTGGTTCCATAAAAACCCAGGAGTTTTAGGATCAGTGTAATGAATTTATCACTTTTACGGATGTTCCGGATTTTCCGGTGAACCATTCCGTAGTCCCCAGTGTCAATTTTCTGGTCACAACTCCGAATTCATTCTGATAAGATGTCTATAAGGGGCTGTTCATAAATTACTTAGACTCTTTAGGTGGTGGGGGGAGGGTTGATATATGTTTACGGTCCATACATATTTCCAAACCATTGTATGCACGATTTTCTACGCGGACGGAGAGGGGGGTCAAATACCTCTAAAAATTGGTCTACGTAGTTCATGAACAGCCCCTAAGTAGTTTCGAAAAAAAAACACGGAGGTCTAAGATCAGTTTCATTAATTGACCACTTTTACAGATGTTCCTGATCTTCCGGTGGACCATCCCACCCTAGCCACAACTCCGAATTCATTCGAAGAAACTACTGAGCTCTAGGATTTGATTCATGAACTGACCTCTTTTACGGATGATCCGGATTTTCCGGTTAACCATTCCGTAGTCCCCAGTGTCAATTTTCTGGTCACAACTCCGAATTAATTCTGATAAAATGTCTATAAGGGGCTGTTCATAAATTACGTAGACTCTTTAAGTGGTGGGGGGAGGGTTTATATAAGTCTACGGATCATAAAAATTACCAAACAATTGTATGGACGATTGTCTACGCGAGGGAAGAGGGGGAGGGGTCAAAAACCTCTAAAAATCGGTCTACGTAGTTTATGAACAGCCCATAAGTGGTTTCCGAAAAAAAAACACGGAGCTCTACACACTAATCCAGTCAGTAACGTATTACTGGGTTTTTGCGGAACTGTTTGATAAAAGTTTAAAAATCTGTGTAAAATTCAAACATTAGAAAATTTATTCCAAACTAGTACA